CCTTTGAGCATCATATCGAGGTAAGGCAATAGCTTATATTCACTTGGCTACATAATCCATTACTATCAATATATATATATATATATATATATATATTGAAAGGTGAAATTGATATTTGGTCGAGTGGGGCACCAAATATCGATTCCCCCAAAGGGTTGAAAACTCTGGTGTGTTTGTTTATGATTCGAAAATCCCACATCACGGGATTCGAACCCCGACCCGAGAGAATTACGCCAGAGGCCGCACCAATGAGCCTATATATATATATATATGATTGATGAGTAATATGTTTAAGCAATTTAATTGACAATAACGTTGCAAAGATTTATAATAAAGTGAAATTATTGTTCAAAAAATAGAATAAAAATATAATAAAATATATTTAACTGATATTTTCATATAAAGCTAACTTTTAAATCTCGCCTCAACCTGTAACAACCATGGCTGCGTTATTAGGACTGTCCAAATGGCTTATTCTTCGCGAACAACTCGTGTTCGGCTCCTTTACACCTTTATTCACCAATGATGTTTATTTATTTCTTTTTTATATTATTAATAATAATCTAAAATTTTCAGGGCTGGAATCCAACTTCCAACAGTTGAAGTAAGGTTTGAGAATCTTAAAGTTCAGGCAGATTGCCACGTAGGCAGCAGAGCTCTACCTACGCTGTTGAACGAGTCCATCAATATGATTGAGTCGTTAGTTGGTCTATTTGGCGTGAGGCTAACTGGAATAACCAAGCTTAAAATCCTGAACGGTATCTCCGGGGTTATAAGACCCTCAAGGTAAATTTATTTTGTGCCATTTACATATATACCCCTCAATTTCCATTTCCTATGCCATCATCTTATTTTCTCAAATGAATATTATGTAATTTTCACTAAATACCCATGTTTTCACATTTTTAGTACCTAAATTTATATAAGTATCAAAATAGTCCTGACTTATACAAATTCTCTGAGACTAAAGCATACTTATATAAATAGTCGTAAACTATTTCGACACTTTATATATTTAAGTTTAGGTGTTAGATATGTTGCATATGAATTGAGTGGATACATACATACAAATATATACATACATAAATATATATACATACATAAATATATATATATATATATATATGAAATATTGATTTTATAAGAAAGTTAAATAATATAATGCAGAATGACGCTGCTTCTGGGCCCTCCATCTTCAGGAAAAACGACACTATTGCATGCTTTAGCTGGAAAGCTCCAAAAATCACTTGAGGTTAGTGTTTTGGCTGCTTATTTCTTAATTTCAGACAACTATTGTCTATTATAACAATATTTGAACATATGTATATATAGATTAATGTTTATAGGTTAGATATTCAATTAAAAAATATGATAAGTATATAAACACCCTTAGCTTTTAAGAGATTTTTTTTATAAAAAAAATATTATTAATAAATATTTTAAAAATTAATTTTTCATAATTACAATATGTTATCAATTTGAATCTCCCATGCCTCTCAATTCATCCACAAAGCGCTAGAGTATTTAAGGGCAAGATGAGCCTACTCCATGCCGCAACGATACAGGATCAGCCGGATCCTACAGTCCCGACCACGAACTGTTCCCCGGGACGAGTAGAGCAAAGCTGGAACACCACCCAATGCGGCGGCCGGAGGAGCAACTGCTAGAAGAGGCAAATACGGCGAAGTTCCCATTGCTGCTCAAAGAAGAAACGTAAGAGCGGCGGAGCCATACTCAAACAGATTGCCGACGGGATGAAATCCGGCCATGGCCGGAACACAGGGAGGAAACGCCGCCGGTAAATTTATCAGGGTTCAGGAGTTGGATTAGGGCAGAGCCGGGGCTTTCTTAACTTGACTGCTGTAATAAGATAGTTATTAGTACATGATTACTAAATGTTTGCAAGAGTTATGCATATGTAGAAAATCTAATTTAGATCGTGAAACAAAATTTGAAATATAGTTTAAAATTTCAGTAATTACTTGTAACTATAATTTCCTTGGTTGCTTCTTACAATATGCAGGTGAGTGGCGATGTATCGTATAATGGATACGAGTTAAATGAATTTATACCTCAAAAGACAGCAGCATATATTAGCCAAAACGACACGCACACTGGAGAGTTAACTGTAAAGGAAACGTTAAGTTTCTCTGAAAGATGTCAAGGCGTGGGTGATAGATATGGTGATGTTTTTAAATTATATGCATAACAATTTCTAATATATTGAGTATCATTTGTTAATGTATTAGGTACTTTATTTTTGCGTAATTTTTTGAAGTGAATTGATTTTACAGAACTTCTTAGTGAGCTGGCAAGAAGGGAGAAGGCTCAAGGAATTGTACCAGACCCAGAGGTGAATCTCTTCATGAAGGTAAGCTGACTCTTAAAGACAAATATTTGGCCTATTGGTTGTTCTTGAAGTGTAGATTCCTTAGGAAATATAACAGCATTGATATACTTGAGAGTAATTTGATTTCAAAAGTTTTACAGGCTACTTCTGTTGAAGGTGAACAAATTGATCTTCAAACAGACTACACAATTAGAGTAAGCTCATCATCATATGAAATCTATTTTTTTTCCAGGAAGAGAATGCCTATTCTCATCCCAGTTTATTTCTTTATCTATCATTGTATAGGATCTTCAAATTCAAGATTACAATGTTGATTATGATTTATGAAATATGAATTTTAAATGGACCGAGTTTTATCAATTTTCATGATTATTTCAGAATTCATAAAACAGACGAAAAATATATTAGCAATCAAGAGAGAGAGAGAGAGAGAGAGAGAGAGAGAGAGAGAGAGAGAGAGAGAGAGAGAGAGAGAGAGAGAGAGAGAGAGAGAGAGAGAGAGAGAGAGAGTTTAGGTTTAGTCTTGCATTTCACCAATCAAAGCCGTTCAATATGTGCAAGATATTATTAAAAACTCATATTTGATTTCAAGCAATTGGAAGTATCTACATTTTGAATTCACTATTATTAAATTGTGCAACCTTAACTATTTATCCATAGTAGAAAATTTAATGCATTCAATTGTTGATCAAACAATCATAAATTTTTTTTGAAATCATTCATGACACTAATTTTTACTATGGTAAAGATAAGGCATGATTTTTATCTTGTATTTGAAGGTGATGACATTTAGTTTTAATGGAGAAGAGAATGATGAATCTCCTCTCTGGATATATATATATATATATATATATATCAATTATGTGTGTGTATATAATTGATATGCATTTTTTTCTAATTTTGAGTATGCAGATTCTGGGCTTGGATATATGCTCTGACATTATTGTTGGTGATGAAATGAGAAGAGGGATATCAGGAGGTCAAAAAAAACGTGTTACCACAGGTTCTTAATGTTAAATAAGATCGAATTTTCTTAACATGAAATGTTTATTCTTTGAAAAAAACTTTTTTTTATCTATAAATGTGATACTTGATTGATGATTACGTTTCACATGCTGTAGCTAACTTTAGATAATTACAGAAGAAGGTTCATTTTAAATGTTATGACGTGTTCGAACAAAGGAGGTGAATAAGAAAGAAGTGATATAGAACATATGGTTCATAATCATGAGAATTAAAAAAATAAAAATACACTGATAGTTATAGATCAAGCATAGAAGCTCAATTTACTTTGTGATTTTTTTTTTTTTTTGATGAAGTAACGAATTGCCAACAAACAAAAAAAAAAAAGAAAAGAAAAAAAAAACTTTACAAAATAATCATTTAGTCTTATTTTAATGGTTGGATCAATCAACTTTAGGCGAGTATCATTCACTTTTACTTGTAAATATTTTTTTTGTTGGCCCATCTCATCATATGCTTATACGACATGAATTTTTATGTATATTTTTTTGGGAAGTATAAGATTTCTCTTTTATATATATTTGGTCTTCATTTGCCTTGAGCAATTTTCACTTAATTGTTTCTAAGAATATTTTGATATGAAATAACGTTTCGAAAATCGTCATTTGTGTGCAAACAATTTTTATCAATTTATGAGCATATAAAATGAAAGAGAAGCTTGTTGTGAGAAGGATATGATTTTATTTTATGTACCGCAACGTCGGGGCAGCTATGCCGATCAAAATTACAATACATTGAAGGCTTCCTTTAAGGTCTCATTTGGTTGCTTGATGTAGAAAACACACTTAAAAATAATGAACTTTCTAGATCTGACCTTTTAGTTGACTACAATTAGAAATCAGTTTTATTTTGAACTCTATATGCATCTCTTAAATCCCTTGAATATGATGAGCTCATTTTTAGGGACCAAATGAATGAAATAAAAAATATTATTTTCAGAAACATTATGCCCACTTATATGCAGCCAAATGAGTCCTAAGAAAACTTTCTTATGAGCTGTCTTTTCATATTCTAACACACATGCATCTGGAATATATTACCATATTCTCTTTTTTACAGCTTTTTGCAGCCAAATGAGTCCTAAGAAAACTTTCTTATGAGCAGTCTTTACATATTCTAACACACATGCATCTGGAATATATTGCCATATTCTCTTTTTTACAGCTTTTTGAAGCATCTGAATAGTTTCCTTACATGTTTAGCATTGACTCTTTACTATTAAAATTTACAGATTTTTATCGTCCAATATCTTTGATAAACTCTGAGAAATCAAAATACTACCCTTTTCAATTGTATGATTTGAGCTATATCTGATTAAATGGTAATCAAATAATAACTGGTTGTTAGGAAGGTAATTACTTTTAGGGGGTATTTACATATCTGTCACCAAATCTTTAATATTTACATTCATTACACCCAAATCTTTAACATCACACAGTAATACCACCTTTGTGTGGTACACACGTAAATATTCCTTAACTTTATCCATTAATAGTTGAGAAGTGAAAAGTGATGTCTTTCACAGGTGAGATGATTGTAGGCCCTACAAAGACACTCTTTATGGATGAGATATCTACAGGGTTGGATAGCTCAACTACACATCAAGTTGTGAAATGCTTTCAACAAATTGTGCATTTGGGTGAAGCTACCATACTTATGTCACTTCTCCAGCCTGCACCGGAGACATTTAACCTGTTCGATGACATTATTCTACTCTCCGAGGGCCAAATTATCTATCAAGGTCCTCGTGATCATGTTTTAGAATTCTTCCAAAGCTGTGGCTTCCATTGCCCTGAAAGAAAGGGCATTGCTGACTTCTTACAAGAGGTAATTCGTACAATTTTTTTATTAGAAAAAATGAGAGACTGGAAGTTAAGTTTGGTTTTTTGAGCTGAGGGTCTGTCACCCTCGACAGAAATCTTAATTCTCTTTCATGGACAGGTTACATCAAGAAAGGATCAACAGCAATACTGGGCAAACACGATCAAACCATATGAATTTGTGTCCACTGCTGAATTCATTAAACTCTTCAATCGATTCCATGTTGGAAGAGATCTGCAAAGCAGACTTTCAATACCTTTTGACAAGAGAAAGAGCCATAGAGCAGCTTTGGTCTTCACCAAACGATCCACTCCTCTTAAATTTCTCCTCAAAGCATCCTTTGCCAAGGAATGGCTTCTCGTAAAGAGGAACTCCTTCATTTACCTCTTTAGGGCGATACAGGTGCTTTAAAATTTGATCTATTTGAGCTTTTTCTTCATCTATCAAAATGCATATTTACATTTCTTTTATTTACGTGTTTATAGCTTGCCACATTTGCATTTGCCACTTCAACTGTTTTTTTGAGAACAAACATGAAAGCAAATACTGAAGCTGATGGGACGGTCTGTATTGGGGCACTACTCTATGGCATGCTTATGCATTTTTTTAGTGGATTTTCTGAGCAAGCTCTTGCTATCTCAAGGTTACCGGTGTTCTACAAACAAAGGGACCTTCTCTTCTATCCGACATGGGTTTTTACCCTGCCAAATTGCATCATAAGGATTCCCCTATCTATTATGGAGGCTGCTGTCTGGGTGATTGTGACATATTATTCCATAGGTTTTGCCCCGGAAGCTAGCAGGTAAATCATTACCTTAATACATCTAAAAAATTCTAATGGACATCAAATCATACTGTTTTGAGTCCGATTTAAGCCCCATTATTAGTTAAATCCGAAGATTTCTTAAACAGTACAATCTACAATATTTAACAGATTTAAGGATTTCTCCCCTCAAAATCTCAATCCTAAAGTAAATATTTATTAGGATTTGGTCAGATTTGACAACCTTCATGCAAAGAATTTTGACATTTAATCATCTCAAGGTTTACTAAATTAGGATTTAAGATTAATGAAATTCTACTCGTGGCCAAACAACCCCTAAACAGTATGAGCTTTTGAATGATTATTGACTTCTTCATTTTTCTTCTTTGTGACAAGCCATTTCCAAATTTTCTTGTTGAGATGTGCTAAATTTCTAGAATTCGTACTATTCAATTTTTCCCTAAAGATTTGTAAGTGAAAAATATCCTTTTTTTTTTAGATTTAATGAGGTTTCATAGCTCATGAATTAGTAGTAATTTAGCCATCATTTTTTTCCTTACTTCCTTCTTGGATGTTTTGCACCAATTAGTATGTTGAAAAAGGCACAAATAACTTGTATGCTGATGAGACCAATCAAACTTATCTACCTCCACAGGTTTTTCAAGCAGTTCCTCATATTCATACTGGTCCAGGAGATGGCAGCTGGCCTTTTCAGACTGATTGCAGGTCTGACCAGATCCGTGACTGTAGCCAATACTTGGGGAAGCGTTCTTACACTGACGCTAAGTTCTATTGGTGGCTACACCTTACCTAAAGGTTCTCATTTGTGTATCCCACAGATTATGTGTAGTGTTAATTCATTCAGCAGAAAATTGGGCTCTATTTGGCTTTAATATTCTCAATTTTTCCACGTTTTAAAATATTAATTGCTTAGTTTTTTAAACTTTGTTTTGGGATATTCCTCTGAATGCAAGTAAAATATCCAACTTGTTGATGGGAAGTGGCAAAGTTTTTATGTAACTCTGTTATTTATTTTGCAAACATTCTTTCTTTCAACTCTCTCAGTCAATTTTGGATTTTGATGTTGGAATGTGTACTTCATTCATATGATTCAATGTTTGTTTAATGAAAATAGAGAAGTTTCTTTAAAATCACACAAAAGATTTGACTCATTCTTCACCACTTTATATGATTTTCTATATGTGCATCTTTTCGTATATCTAAAGGATGCTGCTTAACAGCTTTGCTACCCAATTGGTGGATGTTTGGTCACTGGCTTTCCCCGTTGACATATGCGTTTACTGCTCTTACAATCAATGAGATGTCTTCTTCTAAGTGGATGGATAAATTTGTAAGTAATACTTCAAATCTGGTGAATTCGTTGCAAAAACATAAATATTTCTTCAACTAAAGTGTTTATGCTCTTCTATATTTTTTTGGGCAGGCACCAGATGGCAGAAGACTGGGGGTAGCAATCCTAGAGAATATCGATCTCGTCACAGATCAGAACTGGTATTGGAAATCAGCTGGGGTTCTTCTAGGATATTCCATCTTCTTTAACATTCTTTTTGCACTTTCCCTGATGTATCTAAATCGTAAGTCAACAAAAGTTATCCTATTTCGGAGAGTTAGCGCAGCAAGAATCTTACTGCCTTTGTTGTGATAGCTCCCGGAAGGCCAAATCCAGTCATGCCTGAAGAAACAACTGCTAAGATGGAAACCAAAGGAGATCAATGTGTGGATAATGGAAACAAGAGTAAGATCCAAACATACCAATCAATTCTAAGTTTCCTGCACATCACCTTTCTACAAATAATTTTTTATTGCTTCTGTGATCTTCATAGTATCATTATCTATTGCAGTAGAAGTTGAGGTTCAAAGTAGTTGTTGTCGCTCTAGCAGCAACGCAACTGAGTGGCGTAGTTATGAAACATATAGGAATGAAGTCTACAAATCTTCTTCTAAAAGAGGAATGGTTTTTCCTTTTACACCCCTTGTTATGACTTTCAAAGAAGTGAACTACTATGTTGATATACCTCCAGTGAGTTCCCCTTTATTTTTCATTTTCTTGCTAAATTAAGCAGGTGAATAACTCCTGAATTTTAATTTCAATTAGAAAGTTGATATATGGAAGCATTCTCTTTGATAGGCAATGAAGGGACAAATAATTAAAGAAGATAAGCTTCAACTGTTGAGGGAAATTACTGGGACCTTTCGTCCCGGAATACTTACAGCCCTGATGGGAGAGAGTGGAGCTGGGAAGACAACACTATTAGATGTCTTGGCAGGAAGGAAAACTGGTGGATATATTGAAGGAGATATCCAGCTTGCTGGCTACCCTAAGAAACAATCAACTTTTGCAAGGATTTCTGGATACTGTGAACAAGTTGATGTTCACTCTTCTCAGCTCACTGTCAAGGAGTCACTCACCTTCTCTGCATTATTGCGTCTTCAGGGAATTAGCATAGAAGATAAACTTGTGAGTTCGAATGCTTTATATGCTTCTATTATTTGTGTTTTGTTAAAGTTCATAATAATCATCTTTATGATTGAAGGAGATATCGAGCTGGTTGCTTGAAATTTTTATGCTTCTTGGTTATTGTGCATTGCTTTCATCTCCGTAAGAATTCCTTGTGCTGTAATGATTCCTTTCTATTTGCAAGGCCTCCACTTTTTATGTCGATAGTATAGTATCTTGGTGTCCACAAGGATCCAAATAAGTTGAACACTATTATAATTGCACAATGCGTTGGACTAACTAACTAAAAATTGACACCAAGCTAACACCGGAGCCTATCAAGTACTTCTGTGGAAATGGCATTCACATGGAGGAAAACCAATAGAACAAATTCCAAACCCCACAAAGTTCAATTATGCTATTCATGTAAATTAAGGCCCGTATAAAATTGCACCAAATGGAACTTTTAATATGTATTATTGGGATTACAAAAGCAAGAGAAAGGAACTTTACTTAGCTTGAGACCTTTGCAAATGTTTCTGATACTAATTTAATTGCCCGTGCACTAAATGCACATTGTAAAATTAAATTTATGATGGAAACCAAAATTAATGTAACAACCTGGGCTGGGCTGGGAGTTTGGAATTATTAAGGCTAGAATAAACAATTGGACAGTGATTAGACTATAACTATTATGTCTAGATTCTTATGGCTCAAAAAATCAATCTGTTAAAAAAAAAATCTAAATTCAACAAAAATGAAAGTGACATAAAATTCTAAATAAAAAACAAAATAAAAGAATTGACCTTGCTTTGGTGATATCCTGTCAACAATATACATTCTCTTTTTTTCACTCATTTAAACTTTAATTATTTAAATTATAACATGAAGAGTTATCCAAATAATCCGGTAAAATAATTACACTTCTAAATTATAATAGCTTAATGAAAGACAAAATGCATCTTGATTTGTTTTGTCAAGTTATGAAAATTCATTTGAAAATATGAACATTATTAATGATATTTATGACCATGAATTTGATCTAAAAATTTTAAATTCAAACTTGTGCAACTTTTCAGGATCTATACTTTTATTTTTAATGAATTTTATATATTTTAACATATACGTACATCTCAAGAGCATCCTTTAAACATAACCTAACTCACTCATGGCCTAATACATTCCTTGTCAACATAGTAGTGTAGAATATGCCTATTATTATTCAACATGTTATATTAAAATCAAAGAAGTGAATCATAACATGTTTGTAAAATGGAAAAGAATTTGAAGAAGAAAAATGGTACTTCAATATAAGAGTCTTGTCACTCACCTTAAAATTTGAAGTATGATTTAAGATCTTACCCTCAAGATCAGTTCAATCTTGGTCAACCCTTATAACTCAAATATTATAATCAACTTTAAGATACGTAGATTAAACAAAATTTTCATACTCAAACACATCCATTCATTATATTTTAATTCACTTCTATAAATAATGATAATTTATAATATTCTTATGCCTTTTTTTATATGTAAAATCTTGTTATTCTCTAATACAAACTAAGAGTCTGTTTGGCGCAGCTGTAGCTTCTCAGCTTTTCAGCTGCAGCTGCACTTCCCTAGGAAGTTGCGGGGAAGCTGACCGTCTGTTTGGTGCAACTGTGTGAAAACAGTTTTGGGGGAGTTGTTTCTGAAAAAATGACTACGCTGCCCCTATTTGGTAAAATTATTTAAAACAAAACTATAAGAGCTTTGGGACAACTATTTCTGAAAAAACTTCTGCAATTTATAGTCAATCTCAAAAGCCATAAATTAAATACTTTTATAACTTATTTAAAAACAGTACAAAATTACAGATACACATTTCACGTCACAGTGACGTTCAAGAGAGCAAAAAAGAAGTCTAAAACAATTAAAATGACAACTAATAAGATGATTATATTATTTTTAACATTAAGACAGTGTAAATCTCGTGCTAAATTTTCCTCGAGTGATGATGTGCTCCATTCCCGATCACCGTCGTCATGGGAATCCTCTGAACCGTCTGCCCAACGGAAGAAGTGACATTATTCTGCGATGCTCCGTGGGCTGCTATAGACTTTTCTCCCGTAGATGTGTGGCCGACGTAACGTCAACAGGGAAGTTTGGAGGCCACAGTGGCAGAGCAGTCGTCTGGATGTCCCGAAAATCCTTAAGCTCATGTTTTCCTGATTACAACAGTAGATGATAACAACAAAATATTGTTAGAATAAAATTGAATAGTACAACAAATCATTTCATTCAATATAATCAAACTAATTGTAGAACCTTAGTGAAAATTTAAAGATTGCTCCAGTTATTGCATTTTCTTTCTTTATTCAAAACAAGACATCAGCTTTTGCACAATGAACATATTCTAACACATCATTGTCCAACGTTCAATCTTACCATAGATAATTCTTAATATATAAACTTTTGCAGCCTATCATGCTCCCCTCCCGTTCTTTCTTTAAAAATTTTAATAATATTTTGTCACCCTTTCTCATTGAAAAATATCTTAGGTCTATTGTCCAATTCAATTTTCTTTAAGCAAATGTCCAAAATATTATTTTTGTTACCTTTTCTCACAGTGTAGGTGTTCCAAGCGATTTACTCTTATTAGCCATTTTAATACTACGCGAGAGCGAAGAAATGAAAGCCAACAGTAACTTAATTCAGATGATATAATAGCAAGACAATTATGATTATTGTATCATAATGAAACAAACATTTTAACTAACGAAATTGAAATGTAAATAAGGACACCAAGAAATTTACATGGTTCGGTTAAACTGACATACATCCACGAGGAAGCAAGCGAACGTCTTTATTAGGGCAATGAAGAAGAAGATGCATAGCTTTGAATAAAAAAATACTCCTTCCAATAACTAATTGATGGAAGAAGTTAAAAAAAATGTTGTGGCATTTGCAAATAGCTCAACCAATTTTGCCACATACACTTTAACGAAAGAAAAAATAATGAACACTGCATTAACAGTACAACTGGAGGAGGAATAGGGAGTTCGGCCACAACCTCTTTGAAGCTCATGTTTGAGTAACTGGCATAACATCTATCTCACAATTCATGAAGTATCCAACTTGCATGTATCCACATTTTGATGCTTAGGTCATGAACCGGTTCATTAACATCTCAAGTTTAAACAAGCACCAACCAGATAAGACCGAGGTGTATTGCCTTTTGGAGCCAATTTTTGACACCTAACCCTTTGTATGGGCACAAACTGCTCAATTTTTAAAACTAAGCTTTCCAAATTCTTAAAACATATTCATGTATGGATGCTCAAATTTATCCTGGTGGCATCAAAAACATGGTTTTGATAACTCCATATTAGTGAATAGAAGATTTCCTTAATATTTGCATCCTTGCAATATAAAACCATAGTTCTTTCTCTTCATTTTGGAAACATGATATAATAATTCAGCAAAGAATTATAAAGGCATCAGGCGGGCAACAATCATAAAGCAAACAGAAAACATCCAAACCTGTGAGCAGTTTCAGAATTATAGCATGTTATTAAACTGTGTGTTCTTCACTAATGGTGCTACAAACCCGCCCCCATATTCTAATTGAGAGATGCACCCTGCATGCCCTTTTATTTAACTTATGCTTGAGAACGACAAATTCAGCCATTCACCGAAAATGAAAGATCAAATGACAGATTCACAACCATTCAAATGTAATACCAGTATAGATCAAATAATTGCTAAATTCCAAACCCGTAAAATGATCTATAGCCCAACAACCGAAATACCAGTTCTGCTCATTTCACAGATGTTAACTACAATGCTAAAGAACTATTGCCAAACCTCTCATCCATTAGGTATCTTCCATCAATTGGCTGGATCAAGCCGAAAGCCAGAGCAGGCAAAATTATTAGATCCAGCAGGAAAAGAGTGAGAAGGGAGAAACGAGAAAGAGAAACTCCAAATCCGCCAAAAATAACAGGAAAGAAAGAAAATAGCTGAAACAAGAAAGAGATGAGGAAAAGTCATTAGATCCGCAAAACCAATTGAAGAGGAGAGTTTGCTATACCTGAATTCGGTCATTCTAGGATAGGGAAGAAGAAGGCACAGGGGATTCGCGAGAGAGGCAGCGAGGAAGCAGCTAGGATAGAAGAGAAAATGCGGGGCAAAAAGTAATATTAGCGGGACCAACGTGGTGCCGCGGGGTTGATCCCGCGGCCCGCTTTCCGCCAGCTTCATCGACGTTGGGCCGCGAAGCTCGTAACCAAACACGTGAATTTTCTTTTTTGCCACAGTTCTGCGTCGCGCCGTAGCCCCCGCCCCCCCAAATGAGCCCTAAATTTTTTGAAATACTTTAAAATATTATTATTATTCTTATTAATGTTTTGAACTACTTTAAAATATTATTATTATTCTTATTAATGTTTTATTTATAAAATAAAGTGACATACTTCCGAATTTATTAAATAACCTAATTGAAACTTAAATTTCATTTATAAAAAATCACAACTCTTTTTCAATTATATAATTAAGGAACTTCATTTATTAAATCTTTATTCTAAACTGAAATATGTTAGAACTACTTGTGAAATTTATATGATGTGTAAATAAACCTTTTAACAATAATACATTAACACTAATTAAAATTTTGTGTTCTTTCATTATGTTTATAAATATATATTATTATAACAATCAACTAAAATCTTATAACATAACTCCTTAATTAAACTTAAATATTATAACAATCAACTAAAATCTTATAACATAACTTCCACATTAGAAAGTTTAAATCTTAAGAAAATTAACATATATTTATACAATACAAATACCAACTTTTATTTTATAACAAAAGTCTAGTATTAGCTCATACATTATATATTAAATCCTAACATATTATTCAAATTAAGTTGCTTTTACCAAAAGAGTAATGAAACTTTAAAATTGAGATAAGGTTTACCTTCCAATGACAAGATGAAAAACCTTCAATGTGTTTAGCCTGACTTTGCCGAAAACCCTATCCTAAAATTCAAATTAATTTGCTTTCAAAACAAAAGAAATGCATGGAAAACAAAAACCACGGTTTCTTCCACAATTATGTCATTTTCAATAAAGAGTTTAACTCACCTACAAAAGCTTATGGTACTCGACCCTTGCCAGTACTTGTATGCTTGCTTTTGGTCGAGTTCTTCTAGACAACTTTTCTCACTATTGTGCATTCGACAAACTCAATTTGGGGTAAGTAACAAATCCCACTCAATTACATAGTATTTTATTAGACAACACAATAGATTGCTTCGATTTTTTATCAACCTCTTCAATTAGAACATCAATTCAAGATTATAAGCAATTAGAAGCTTAAGTTGTGTTTTTTATTTCTTCAGGAGTTTACTAAAATAACTCATAAATTATACATCGTAATTAGGAACAATTATTTTTAAGAAAACAAAATAATTTAGCTATTCCATTAAAATAAAATTTATTAATGCGAGATCCAATAGCAATTTTATGACATGAAACATGCCATTTTACAAAAATAATCTATAACTACAAGAATGTAATCATATTTTTAAAGCACATGTGATAAATTTAATTCAAAGTCATATTAACACCCTCTCATGATTGTGTGAAGTTATTGAAGGTGTATCTAACCCTTTGTTTTTATTACTTTTACAAATCGATGGGTCGTATATTGTGAATTAATATGGGCTACATATCTTTTCTATTTTGACTAGAACTGTGTAGTTTTTCCAATAGTCTTCTCCCTTCCAAATTGATCAACAACATCCTTAACATATAATTCTAAAATTTGAAAATCCAAAGACAAGTCCCTTGAATAAATAACCATATCAATCTTGCTATCTTTACTAAGAAATATAAAGATAATTATTATCTAAGAGGCTATTTGATTTGAAAGGATTGGGGTATAAATATAGGGATTTTAGAAATATAGGTATTTAGTTTGATGAAGAAGGTGATTAAATTCACCCTTAATTCATTTTGAATACATTAAAAATGACAAAATTTTATTGATTTTCGAGTACACAGCAGTCGGCTATCCCTGTAGGCAACCATCTTTGTAGACCGCTGCGACAACTGCCTTCAACCACTAAAATAGGCTATTGCTGCTGACAGTTGCTACATTGGTCGTTGCTACCATAATTTGCCACCACTATTATCCTGCTATTTTCACTACCTTTGTTGTCGCCACTTTCGCTCAGCACTTTCTTGTTTGTCACTTTCTATTGCTACCATAAGTGATTATCACTGCCACCTCTTGTGGGAAGTTAGCCTCTCCAAGTTATCCCAACACCATTCCAGTCACCGCCGGTCACTCCGACATCCATCTAGCCGCTGCCACCTCTCACCAGCCACCTCGATGACTTCGCTACAACCCTCCAACGTAGACCAGGGTTGTTTTTGAACTGTGCTTAGTCTATTTTCTGCATTGCTCTATTTTTCTTAATTGTTTTCGTTATGGATGGTCTTACTGCATATTCATAGGAGGTTGTACTTTTGTGTATTCTTTTTGCTGGTGATTTCATTCTTGTGGATAAGACGAGAGAAAAAGCCCAAAAAAAAAACTTGAATTATGAAGGTCTACATTGGAGTCTAAGGGCTTCATTTGAGTAGAAGTAAAACTGAATACATGGAATGTAATTTTAGTAGTAGTAGCTCTAGTGATAAAAATATAACTATGGGTGATCGAATTATTAAAAGGTGTGAACACTTTAGATATCTCGGGTCTACTGTTCAAAGTGATGGTGATGGTGATATTGATAGGGATGTTATTAGTATAATTCAAGTTGGTTGGTTGAAGTGGAGGAATGCTTCGGGCCTATCGTGTGATAGAAAAGTACCGCTTAGACTAAAAGAAAAATTTTACAAGATGGTTGCGGGACCTGCAATGCTCTATGGCGTTGAATGTCAGCCTTTAAAACAAAAGCATAAAACTAAGTTAAGTGTTGTCGAGATGAGAATGATTAGGTGGATGAGTGGCTTTACATTTAGAGACAAAATGCGAAATGAATATATCAGTGATAGGGTTGGTGTAGCTCAAGTAACAAACAAAATTAGTGAGAATCGTCTTATATGGTTTGGTCACATTAAACGTCGACCATCTGATGATCCGATTAGAAGAGTAAATGTTTCAGATTCAACTTATGTTAAGAAAGGCAGAGGTAGACCTGAGAAGACTTGGGCTTATTGTATTAAAAATGATCATAATTTACTAGAACTAAATGATAATATGACACTAAATAGGACGCATTGGAGAAAAAAGATTCATATAGCCGACCCCACGTAGTGGGATTAAGGCTTTGTTGTTGTTGTTTTAGCGTTGTTTTACTTTCTGTATATGATTTGTGTTATTGTTTATGCACTCTTACGTGCTAGGAGTCGTCCTTGTACTCATGTTATAATTCAGTAATAAAATTTGTCACTTCTGAGTCAGGATTTGGGTTAACTCCGGTATCAGTCTTAGCAAACTCACTTTGAGTCATGCGACGTCTTGTTTGAACCTCGTCATTTTAATGGTATTTGCTCTTACTGATTAGAATTCTCTTACTAGATATTTTTATGTTTCTAATGCGCTCGTGCATTCAATTTTTTAGTTGGTCGTCATTTTGACTGGTCATTCATATAGCTTTGACAACGGTCAAAATGGTTTGAACTCGATTCAGGTGCACCATGCTAGTAATTTGTCACCATCGCCATCTTTAATTTTACTTTTTCTTAGCTTTGACTCGTATCACATATTTGCTTGACATGCAGGTCAACAGTTCACTCAGTAATTTTATCTCATTCAAAAATCTTGCTGAAATTCTTAAATCTTGGATTTCATTTCATTATCAGCTGAGTTTAAAAACTATAATTGCCTATTTTCTCTTGAATGAAGCAAGTTTTTTGAATTGATTGGTAACATGTGATCTCTTGATCACTTTTTTTTTTTAATGGAAGCGCATCATGCATTGTAATAATTGCATTAAAAAATTCTAACCTCGAGCCATCCTCCATCTCACTCTCATCCTATCACAGTTACCACAATTTAAGGTTGGACTATTGAATTTGGATTCTTCTGTCTGCAGAGATTTGTTGAGGAAGTGATGGAATTGGTTGAGCTTGATAACCTCAGGGATGCGTTGGTGGGAATTCCAGGAATCACCGGTCTTTCCACAGAGCAAAGGAAAAGGCTGACAATTGCTGTGGAGCTTGTTGCAAATCCTTCCATCTTATTCATGGACGAACCAACATCGGGTCTTGATGCAAGAGCAGCTGCTATTGTCATGAGAACAGTGAGAAACACTGTCAACACAGGAAGAACTGTTGTCTGTACCATCCACCAACCAAGCATTGACATATTTGAATCCTTTGATGAGGTTAGACAAGTTCAAATTCATCCTTTCATGCAAATTAAAATTATGTTTTTCACCCACACATGAATTTTCATTGATCAGTTACTCTTGCTGAAACGAGGGGGCCAAGTAATTTTTTCAGGACCATTGGGCGAGAATTCTCAGAAGCTAATAGAATATTTTGAGGTTTGTATTTCTTAAATATTTTCTCTTGAATGCCCCGTTATTTTTTCATTTGTGCAGCCATTGTCAAGGGTAATCAGAAATCTGGAGAATCTTCATGCTGTAGGTTTTTTTGATATGCATATGCTTTATAGAAATAATGATAATTTTGAATTCTGAAATGACAAAAGAAATAAGGCTCTACTGCAATGGAAAACCATCCACAACTAGACATCAAAAGTAAAATTTTTAGTACAGCTATTGTGGATATTATTTTGTAGCTATTCAACTTACATATGGGCATATTGATCAATCAACTTCATAAACCAATGTCTTATTACGTTAGTTACTACTACAAATTTGTTAAGTTTTTTCAAAGTCAGTTTAGAAGGGCAAAAGGAAAATTTAGAAATTATTTGAAGTGAAAGCCTACACTTAAGATGGTGTTAAATTGGTGGGTAATTGTGAAACCTAAATTAACCACCATGAGCGAAAAAGGATAGAAATATATAAAAATAAAATTAATTCAAAAAAATATTAATAATCAGGTTCAAACAATTTGTGGCTGTCCTATTGAAGTCACCGCAGATTTCACCGCATTTTAATTTTAAAGAGTCATAACCCTAATTCCTCTTATACAAACATAATATGACACTCCCCTTTTTAGGAAGAAATTACTTGGGGAAAAAAACTAGGGGAAATCCTCCCAATGAAATAACCCACACATATTGAATACCTTTTGGAGGTGGGGACCAATAATTCTTGGGACAGGAGCTCCTACCCCCTGCCAACTCTCACAGTGACTTTACCACAAAGGTTGGCCTACAACTAAATCTATGTAATACATTTTCTTTGTAGGATAAACCTTAAGTTTGACTGGTTGACATTAACATTGTCACCACAATTCTTCCTTTGAAGCATGACTGGAATAAAGTTTTTGAGTGTCTCACACTATTAGCCCATCCTATGGATGAGATCAATCATTAAGTCAAATACTGATTGATTTTTTTGGAGCAGGAAATTCCCGGAGTTCAGAAAATCGATGATGGAGCCAACCCAGCGGCATGGATGTTGGAAACAAGTTCTGTTGCCACAGAAGCAAAACTAAAAATTGATTTTGCACAGATATATAAATCTTCTCCACTGCACAAGTGAGTTTTTCTGTATTGCTAGATTCTCTATAAATCATAATCAATCATATGTGCCATTTCTTGTTGTCTTTTAAACAACATGCAATTTTATATAATAATATATCGGCTTTACGATTAAATCATTAATCATAAATGCGTTGCCACCAATAGGCGAAATGTGGTATTGGTTGGAGAACTTAGCAAGCCATTGCCTGGCGCAACTGATCTTTACTTCTCAACTGAATATGCCCAATCTACTTATGGCCAATTCAAAATCTGTGTATGGAAGTACTGGTCTATATATTGGAGGAGTCCAGGGTACAATCTATCAAGACTAGGCATGGCCTTTGTCACTGCTCTAGTGCTAGGCTCAATTTATTGGAAAATTGGCCAGCGCAGGTCCTTAATCATAACTTATCTGCCAATTTTCTCAAGTGATAGCCTGTTTTAATGAACTAGAAAAGTGTCAAAATAGTCTCTTGAATTTTTTGCCGGGGATCATTTTAGTCCCATAGAATACAAAATTGTTACTTTAGCCCGTGGACTCATTTAATATGGGCTGAAATAGTCTCAATTTAAAGGAATTTGGGGATTAATTTGGCACTTTATATACTCCGGTACTAAAATGGCCCCATGTAAACTTTCAAGGGACTATTTTGGCATTTTACTGATTTATTAACTAACTGTTGACTCATTTAATCCAGAGAAAATTCGAAAGAGCTTATGTCTGTTATCGGAGCAATGTTCCTTGCTGTAGAATTTATTGGCTTTGCCAATTGCTCTACCGTACAACCACTCATCAATACTGAGAGGTCGGTGTTTTACCGTGAAAATTCTGCAGGGATGTACTCGGCATTACCATACGCTCTTTCTCAGGTATTAGTTCCTCCTTGTTGGCACCCATTAGCACTCAAGTAGATCTTTTCCATTGAAGTCACTGTTAAATTTTCATTAATAGAATATTGGGTATTTTAATTATAAAAAGCTGCCGTTATTAAGTTTCCTCTTAAAGATCAGACGGAGCAAGGCAAAACTGAAACTATAAATTTTGTTTTTGTTTTTGTTTTTTAAATCATCATGATTATCATTATGAAACCTGCTCAGCGGGAAAATGGGTGAACATTCGGTGTATTTTAGTTCATTTTATTTTCTTCCTTTTATTTACTCTCTATATTTTGGATTAAGTCCCACTTAATTCTTAACTGTCACTTTCATGGGTATCACAATTGTAATTTAGTGTATGTGAATGAAAAGCTTTTGTTGTTGTGCAGGTAGTTGTTGAAATACCGTATGTCCTCTTCCAGGCATTTTACTACACGCTTGTTGTGTATTACATGATGAGCTTCCAGTTGACTGCAATGAAATTCCTGTGGTTCTTCTCCATCTCTTTTATCTCCTTCCTTTACTTCACATACTACGGGATGTTATCTGCGGCGGTGTCTCCGAACTTACAAGTATCTGCTATAATTTCTACCAGCATCTTTTTTTTCTTTGATCTTTTCTCTGGGTTCTTCATCCGTAGACCAGTGAGTACTCAACTCTTCAGAACCTCAACTTTAGCTCTATAAATAAATATAAAAAAACTCTAATTTTCTCATCACACAATCTCATTGCTTTTATAAAATATTTTTCATTGAAAAATCATTTATATGTTTTAAGCTTGGAAATCATTACTACTTATCAAGAGCTACCTCAAATAAGGCTTTAGTCATCAATCATCTGATACCGGAGTTAACTCAAACATCATTTGGAAAAATAAATATTATTACTGAAAGCAAATAAACGGTTACAATTAAACACACTTGAAAGGGAAAATACAACATACACGACACGAAAACTCATGTTAGGGCAGATCCTTGGTGAATGTGGTGACAGTTAGAGGTCCTAGCGGAGTAGCGCAAGGTAGGGAAGGGGTTTCTGAGCTATGGGTGAGGAACGTTAGCGATTATGGGTGTTTGTAACAATGGGACAACAATGGAAGGCAGCCCAAACAACAACAGTTCATTGTTTGGGGCGACTGGACAGTAGGAAAACAACAAGGGGGAGACGTTGTGTCAATGGCAACAAGTTGGAATGATGGAAACATCTGTTTGGGTGGCTGGAACAGAAAATAACCCCGATGGATGTTTTCGGGCTGCAACAGCGAGCGGGAATTACGGCGGCGGCGGCAGTGAAGGCATGGGACTGCGAGACGACCAAAGGAGAATTGTTTACGGGCTACGACGACAAGAGGGATCGTTGCACGACAAGGAACTGCAAGAAGACAACAACGAGGCTGTCGTCCAAGCGGCTTCAGTGAGGAGGGGGAGGTGTGTTAGCGAAGTGAGAGGGATGTGGGAATGCTTAGGGAAGAGAATCACCACCTGGAAATCAAGATACAGCTAAAGCACCACTTGGAACCCTAAAATGCAACCCTCAAATTGAATAAGAGATGCTGACGTTGTCCCGAAACAAAACACACAAAAAATTGACCTTAAAAACATGAAATAACATATAAATAGCCTTAAGGTAAATAGGAGTGTGTCCCAGTCCAAATAAGAGGGAACCATGCCCTAAGGATGTTTGCCCAATCCCGATTTTGCCTGGAACGACTCAAGCTAGTGCGCCAATTGGGCCACCCGCACGGTCTTGGCGATCCAGTGCCATCTTCTGCTTTGTTTCACTCTCCCAGAGTCGGGGGAGCTTCAACCTCATATGTCGAAGTATATGACGTTATGTAGACCAAGTTGACGGGAGCGGAACTGTTACAATCTCTCGGTAAGTTAATTATTTAGGCGTTGTCATTCCAAAATATATTTTGGTAGAATAAGTATTCATCCAATCTTGCATAACCTGAGCTAGAAATATAGGTAAACGAGTATTCTCACGAATCATGTCTCGAGCTATCACATCTGTAAATTGCTTTTCCCACTTCTTATACTCAGCGGGATATATCCGATAAACAATACTGTTAGGAGTGTTAAACTCTGGAGCAAAATCTATATCATGTTGGACAACTCTCACTAGAAACCCTCAGGAGAGGTCTTTTCTTCTTCTCTGATAGGACCTGGATCCCATTAAAAATTTTTCTTCACTATCAAGCTCCTAAGACAATTTTCAAGGTTGGGTTTCATCCCTCCCGTTCGAACATGTGATAATAAGTATCATGCTAAACTGAATCTAACATCTGAATGACTATGTAATCTTCCAGACATAACACAATTTTTTGCATGTTGGATCTCCCTTAGTAGGGACAACTCAAGAATGAGTTTATAAATCTGAATGGTCTCAATTTCTTTTATTTGGGGTTGTCATGCCTATATTATCAGTTCCTCAAACCCAAAGCTACCTTGGACACTCACCGTGAAGCCGATTCAAGTCTCTCCCACGGGCGCAATTGAAATTATTTGTATCTTTTTCTCCTCAAATGGAAGTTGGTACTCTTTTATATTCTCACAATCTTCAGTATCTACTGTGTCATTACTCAATTTTTTTAAATAATGGTCTGCTCAATGAAATAGATCACCCTTTGGTTGTAAGTTTGATTCAACATGTCCAAATTCGTGGCACTTGCAATACTTCCTGGTTGTGACAGATTTAGGGTTGCGGATTGGTTCCACCTGTTCTCCACTCTATACCATTTTTTCCTCTGACGGGGTCGTCTTGTGTGTTCTCCTGAGTGTACTCTGGTTGCAAGATACTAAGGTTGAAATCTACCTGTAAGATGGGAGATTTCTCGGTGATGAGGTCGCTTCACTTCTGAAGTTAGAGTCTGAACATTCTTTCCGTAGTAAGCTAGTTGGAACTAACGATATAACTCCTACTTCATCTTCAAATCATCTCATTTCCTCTTCGACTCTCCAGATCACAGTCGAGTGTAATCTTCCTCTGGGATTCATTCTCAATGTTCGCAAGCCTCCACTGAAGTTGGTGAATCTTACGTTGTATCTCTTCTCGAGTAAGCTCGGGTATCTCCTTGGTAGTATGGCTAGGGTGTGAAATGAGAGATAAAAGTGAGTAAAAATTGATAAGGGTTCCTGATTTTGAAAATCAGCAAGGGGAAATTAGGCTTTAGTCAAAGTTTTGGCTATGATTTGGGGAATAGGAAAGAAAATTTTTGGTGGAGGGTTAAATCGGATTCTAGGAAACTCTAAAATAGAACTAGGGTTAATCTGACTAGGGTTAACCTGACTCTGATACCAAATGATATCAGAGTTAACCCAAACAATCTTATGAAAAACAAATATTATTACTGAAAGCAAATAAACGGTTACAATCAAAGACACTTAAAAGTGAAAATAGAACACATGCGACATGCACACTCACATGAGGGTGAATCCCGGGTGAAGGTGGTGATGCTTAGAGGGCCTCTCGTGGGGTAGCAACAAGGTAGGAAAGGGGATTTTGGGCTATGGGTGAGGAGCAATAGCAATTATGGGTAGCTGGAACAACAGGACAGCAAGGGGCGGTAGCCCAATCAGCAGAAGTTGGTTGTTTTGGGTGGCTGGATGGTAGAAAAACAACAAGGGGGAGACATTGCGGCAATGGTAGCAAGCTGGAATGAGGGAAACAACTGGCCAGGTTGTTGAAACAGCAGAAAACAACCCTAACGGTTGTTTCCGGGTGGTGAAAGCAAACGAGAATGATGGTGACAGCAACGGCGAAGGCGCGAGACTGCGGGACAACCAAAGGACTGTCCAAGGTTTTCTTTGGCGAGAAGGATGCTAGATGACAAGGAACTGTAGGAAGACAACGATAGGGCTGCTGTTGGGGCGGCTGTAGCGAGAGGGGAGACATGGTAGCAAAGTGGAAAAAATATTACATCAGTACTACGCACGTAGAAGTAACGTGTGTAGCCAATGAAATCACATCACGACACCCCGTGCGACAGGAATATTCCCCTCTGTGTTATTCATGTGTTATTGTGTGTTACTGATGTGTTATTGTGTTATTATAACACCAAGAATATTCTCAGGACACAATAACACTAGAATAACAGCTGAAGAATATTCCCGACAGAGAAAAAAATGACATAGTAACCCGGGAGAATATTCCCCTCATGTTATCCATGTGTTATTATGTGTTATTTATGTGTTATATATGTGTTATTGTGTTATTATAACATTAAGAATATTCCCATGACATCAGGACACAATAACACATGAATAACACGGGGGGGGGATATTTCTCTAATATTTCCAGGACACAATAACACATGAATAACACGGGGGGATATTTCCCTTGTTACTGTGCCGTTTTTTTTCTCTATCGCGCGGGATGTTGTGGCGTGATTTCATTGCGTACGCACGTTACTCTACGTGCGTAGGACTGATGTAATCAATATATAGTCGAAGTACCACCTGGAACCCTAGGATCAACCCTCAAAAGGAAGAAAAGATATTGGTGGCTGTCCTGGTACAAAACACACAAAAACTGACCTAAAACACAAAAATAACATTTAAATAGTCTTAGGGTAAATAAGAGTGAACCCTGCTCCAATAGGAGGGATCTGTGCACTGACTAGGCTCGCGTGATCCCAATTCCACCAAGAATGACTCAAACCTTTGCAGCAATTGCCGCACCTGTGCGGTCTGGGCACTCCAATGCCATGTCCCGCTTCTGCATCCCCATCTCCCGCTCCTGCGACATCTTCTTTCATTTTTCTACAACAAAGCTCCTGTTGTTCAGATGATTGTATGGTGGCTTATTAGATAATAACACTTAAGTTATTAGGAGGTCGATAGAGTACTGGACTTTCATTTATACCTAAATATACAGGGCATTACATACATGGCACACTGTTCTTATTTATTTACATATCTCACATCTATAGTTTGATATTTACACACATAGCACTCAGATGTTTAACATCACATCAAAAATATCAATATCACATCTTTTTAAAAGCGAAATACACATTTTTCAGCATAGGTTTAATGCACCAAGTGCTATGTATATAAATATCAAAGTTCAGGTGTGAGATATGTAAATACATAAGATTCTGTACTACAGATGTAAAATTCCCAAAAATATATCATAAATAATGGAATTTTATTTTGCAGGAAATTCCGGTGTGGTGGATCTGGTATTCCTGGATCTGTCCTGTGTCATGGTCATTATATGGGTTGATTGTGACTCAATACAGTGACATTCATGACAAGATAAAGGTTCCAGGTGAGGAAGATCAACAAATCAGAGACTATGTTATGAACCATTTTGGTTACAGGGATGACTACCAAGGCCTTATGATTGTTGTGCTTGTGGGATTCACGGTCTTCTTCGCCTTCATGTACACTTACTGCATTAGATCTTTGAATTTCCAACAGCGGTAGAGGAAAAGGGAATTCAATGGTCTAACAATTTGGTGATTTTCAGAGGAACACCAATTCAAGGTATTTAGATGAATAATAAGTTCTAGATAGATAATTATTTCTTTTTATTTGAAAATGTGAAAATGTCAACGCGTGAAGGTTTAATTGACATGCTAGGGGTATTTTTGGATTTCTTCGCATTGATGTGGATTATTGCTTGTATTTTTTTTTTTAATTATTGGCATGCATTATTTTAGATCCCTTTTTGGACATGTAAAAGTTGCTTCACCCATTAAATAGTGATTGTTAAAGGAAACTTTGGAAATGCAACATTGAAATTTAGCCAATAAAAGTGATTATGAGGTTATTTTTAAAACTTATATTTGGTTTGGCTAATGGTTTGTATTGATAATTGCATTATTTTTTTTGGGTCATTTCTTTTTCTGACACTGTACACTTACATGCACTTGGGTCAAGTTAATCATATTATTATTTGGATCTGAATCATGTTTATGTTACTAATTGTCTACAAATTGAAACTCAGATACTTAACAGTCTCCCAAAGTCTGAGTTGCTCAGAGCTAAATCTCAAACAAGTTGTCAATCAGGAAGGACTGAAATCAGACAGTTAAATTAGGAGTTTCTATAATTAGGAGCTTCCTTATTTAAATTATTTTCTATTTCTTTATTCTGATTTATTTCCTTGTTAGCTAAATATTTAGATTATGAATATGCATTATTAAGTTAGTTAAAATAAATTATAAATAAATACATAATATTTTGTACCTAAAATAGATTGTAAGATTATTATTTAATGGAATGAAAGCAAAGGGAAAATGATCGAGCTTATTCAGGATTCAACCTATTTTCTCGAAGATTGACACAAGTCATCAAGAAGAATTTGTCAATATGCCAACCAATTGGGACTTTTGATAAAACCGCTTGCTTAATTCAGAACCTGCTTGATTTGGAACTCACTCGAAGTTCCTTTGATTACCAATTGACCACAAGCCTAACTTCTGTGTTACACTTCTAGCCACTATGAATTCAACTAATATGCACTGGTCTTGCAAAGTGTAGCCTCTGCTGACAAAATACTCTCCATTCTTATGATGTTTGATTCCCCCCAAAGGAAAATTCGACCTTATTGCCCACATTACTCCTTTGGGGCATTTACATACTTACCACACAATTTTTATGTATTTATATACCTAATACATAAACATACATGTAATAACTGAAGTTTAGGTGTTAGATATGTAAATGCATAAGAAGTGAGTGGAATGCATGGAAATCCTCCTACTTTTTTGAGTGAATTACTTTTCTTCTCATTATAAGTGATGTGAGTTCGAGGAGGCACTGGTGTGGCGAGTCTGTTATCTTCCTCCAAAAAGTTAACTTCATTTTCGTTAACTTGGCTATAGTATGGTTTATTACTCCTTTTATAAGTGTCTATGACCAGCTGAAAAACTTTCATGCGGTTGAACATGAGATGGGTCGGGGGAGTTGCTTCATCATTTCATATCCAATTCTAGTGGAAGATGAAAGTGCATGTACAAGATCTGAAAGTAAATGTTACTCGGCCTGTGTCGACTAAGGACATTCAAGAAATTCTTTTTCATTATGCGCTCATTTTGCAGCATATGAAGATGTTGGTTGAGTTATGGTGTTTCCCAACCTTGACATCAATGCATAGTAATACAACCATCGACTTCGATTTCCTAGCCCTTTTCATTCCAGGCTTATTCAAGATTCATGGCGATCCTTAGGATTAACGGAATAAGTTTTGCTAATATTGAGATAAGTCGGGCACGAAATTGCATGATTAAAACCTCAGAGGATTTTGCTGACATGAAGCAACAAAGTGGCATGGCCATCTATGATCCGCATATATAATAAAAAAATAGAAAAAGAAAAGGGAAGAAAGTTCACCTCAACATTTGTGGATGCTTCTAGGTTTAGAGTACTGATAATGACATGAGTTATTTAAGTAATGGAAATTGTGAATCCTTTTAAGTAGTGAAGCTGAACTTTTAAAGATCAAGGCGTTTTTGGTGTAATGGTGGAATTTTGACGGAAACTCCAAAGTTGAGCATGCTCGAATTTGAGCACTCCTAGGATGGGTGACCTCTTGGGAAGTTACACGAATGAGACAAAACTGTGAGGCCGTCAGAGCAACCAGACAATATTTTGTTGGATGGTTGTTCGGGCTATTACATGACTTTTTCAATTGTCTTTAGTCGAGTTTGTTTTTCATTTGTGATAAGGAATACTTTTGTTAGACATTAAGGCTTCTAATCAAAATGATTCATCAAGGATGCTTATCTTTGATATGAAACTCGATCATGGTTGTTCCCCTTGACTACTGGTCACGTAGAATCCTAAATTATAGTTTTATTAGATTCGGTTTTATTTGAAATTCATGTACTTTATATTTATATCCATAAAATTATGTTTTATATATTATAAAAAAACTTATTTATCAGCTATCACCCTGCTACTCCCTTAGCCTTCCCAGACCAAACTGATATCGTAAAAGCTTCTATTTTTTTTTATTAAGGGACAATTACATACAAGAAAAGGGAAGAAAGTTCACCTCAACATTTGTGGTATATAACCTATGAAACCCTTTCAAGTAGAATGAAGCTTAACTCTAGAACATTGAGGCATTTTTTTGTGTAATAGTTAGAATTTTGACAAAAACTTCAAAGTTAAATGTGCCCACATGGGAGCACTCCTATGATGGACAAAATTGTGTGGCCATCAGGCCAAAACGGACAATGCATCGATGGGTGAGAGTTTGGGCTATTACAAATGGAATCAGAGCATTTCACCAGCCCAAAGATGAGAACTAAGTGTCATATTGAATAAAATGTTGCACCATGAGAGCCAACTCTTGAACCCCAAATGGGACAAAGTGCCATATGATGGGAGATATCTCTTGAATCTGTAGGAATCACCATTAGAATCCTATGTCTGGTGGATGCTTCTAGGTTTAGAGTACTGATAATGACATGAGTTATTTAAGTGAAGGAAATTGTCAATCCTTTTTAAGTAGAGTGAAGCTGAACTTTGAAAGATCAAGGCGTTTTTGGTGCAATGGTGGAATTTTGACAGAAACTCCAAAGTTGAGCATGCTCGAATTTGAGCACTCCTAGGATGGGTGACCTCTTGGGAAGTTACACCAATGAGACAAAACTGTGAGGCCGTCAGACCAACTAGACAATATTTCGTTGGATGGTCGTTCGGGCTATCACATAACCCACAATCTTTTTCAATTGTCTTTAGCCAAGTTTGTTTTTCATTTGTGATAAGGAATACTTTTGTTAGACATTAGGGCTTCTAATCAAAATGATTCATCAAGGATGCTTATCTTTGATATGAAACTCGGTCATGGTTGTTCCCCTTAACTACTGGTCACCTAGAATCCTAAATTATAGTTTTATTAGATTCGATTTTATCTGAAATTCATGTACTATATATATATATATATAAACTTATTTATCAGCTATCACCCTGCTACTCCCTGAGCCTTCCAAGACCAAACTGATATCGTAAAAGCTTCTATTTACTTTTATTAAAGGGCAATTACATATATAGCATTCGAAATATTACTATTTACAAATCTAGCAACCTCTTTAATCCATTTTTCAAATTCACGATAAAACCCCAATCCATGTTTTTCATTTTTTTATCAAATTCTCAATGGCTTGATTATGGCACATACAAATATACGAGATGAATAGTTCAAAAATAGCACCCGGGTGTTACATTTTGTAAATAGCAATATTTTGGGTGCTATGTAATTATCCCAATTATTAATCAAAGTGTTCTTCTAGGGCAAATTCTTTGAGGCTTCCTCTTTTTTTAATATATTTCTGATATCAATCTTTTAGGCTCCATTTTATATATATATATATATATATATATATATATATATATGCAAATGCCTCATGTTATGAAACATATATTGACATATTATACATATTTTGTTTCAAATTAAAATAAATAAAATGCTAAATGAAATCCCAAATAGCCTCTAAATTAAAAAAAAGAAATACATTTTATATGTTACACTTGAAAAGATCAGTTTTGGCGCATACAAAAACATGCATTAAACACTAAACATTTATAAAATAGATTAAACCCTTTAAAAAAACATGAGTTAAACTCTAAACATTTATAAAATAGATTAGACCCTTCAAAAATATCTATCTTACATGTTCATATTTGTCCATCATAACCCGCAACATTGAGCCACAAAAACCAATATTTAGAGGTTTAACCAACGACAAGATCCATTTTCAAAGCTCTAAAAAACAAATAGTTTAAAAAATTATGGAATACATTGAAGGACTTCAATGTGCTTCGAAAACCTAGCAAAGGAGAAAGGCATCAACAACTAAGGGTATAAAAGAGCCGAGTTTAGGGAGCCAGTATTTGTTTGGGTTCGATTCATTCGAATTTTTTTTTAAAAATTAAAATAGGCTCGTGTCGCAATAATTCTTAAATAACACTTGAAAGTGTATTTAATTAAATGATGAAACCATTATCTTATAAATATGATTTATGGTTTCATTGGATGAATAAGGTGACAAAAGATGGAAGGAATTTTAACTTTAAAAGTATCCAAATTTATATTCGATCAAAATGAATAATCTAATCAGTGTGAAGCACATGAAAAAATTGTTAGAAAAAAACTTCTAATCTAATGAAGAAGCTAAAAAATTTAAGTTGGAAGCACACTCTAGTTAGGAGTGTAATCAAGCCAAATCAAATCTCATTAATTAAACATTATTTGGTCGAATCATAAGTTGTTCATGGTTAGCTCAAAGTTTAGCCAAACTTTCACATATATGTTCATTCTTGAGTTGCTTTAACTTTTTAATGATCACACCTAATTTATAATTAATTTATTTATAATAATTAAATGAGCAAAAAAATCAAATATATAATTAATTTTTTTATATATAATGAAATATGAAATTTGTACAAAAAAATTCATATAAAATTAAATACATGAGTATTTTTATAAATTATTAACAAATATTTTTTTTTCAAATATAAAAAAATAAACAATAGAATAAACTTTAAAAAACATCTTGACTACTTTTTTGTAATCAAATAAACATATATAATTACTAACCATCTCATTAAAATAACAAAAAAAAATTTATACCCATATTACTACTAAATATATAATTAAATAAATTCTCATTAATAAAAAATTATTTCATTAACATATCTTTTAGCAACTTCAATGTTGAGCCAAAAACAAGTTTATTTATGAGGATTAATAAACTAGTTAGATTATATTCAAATTTCATTCATTAAACAGAGTTTTAATATAACATTCAAACTTATTTCCTTACTAATTTGAACAAATATTATAAAATATTAATCAAATCAAATTCAAGTTGTTCATCAAATGCATTGGTTCATTTACATACCCAACTTTCAAATTCAGTTGCTATTAGAGCTCAACTTTCAAATCTAATTGCTATTAGAGCTCAACTTTCAAAAATAAAATAAAATAAATAAAATAAACTAAATTTCAAATCTAATTGCTATTAGAGCTCAACTTTCAAAAATAAAATAAAATAAATAAAATAAATAAAATAAAATAAAAATGTAATCACTAAATTTACTCCAAGATGAGATATTATATAACCCATCAACCAAAATTTATGGCATTCATCCCACAATAAATTATTCCATCCTGGAAGCACCAAAATTCAAATCAAATCTAGAAGAAAGTATTATTTTGTTCTTCTAATCATGATTGATGATCCAAAAATCAAACACTTCCTAAAGTAATTCCATTCAAATCAGCTTGAACTTCAGCCATGCTCTAGACCAGAATAGCATTTGTTAAAATAGAAATGAATTCTGGAGTAGAAAGACAATAAACAAATTGCAATAAGACCTGGATCAAACACTTCCTAAAGTAATTCCATTCAAATCAGGTTGAACTTCAGCCATGCTCTAGACCAGAATAGCATCTTTTAAAATAGAAATGAATTCTGGAGTAGAAAGCCAATAAACAAATTGCAATAAGACCTGGTTCTATGAGCAATTGATGGATAATAGTACACTTAAGATAAATAACAACACCTAAATTAATATATTACATGGTTGATGAATTCTGTAAACCCTAGCTACAACTACAAAAAATGTGAGGGTGAATCTTACAAAAGTGCACTGTAATAACACAAGGCCCCATAGCAAACATGGTTTAGCGTTTTGTTTGTTTGGCCGAGGATGACGATGCGACTTGGCTAGCTGCGGTTTTCTTCGGAACTGTCATGATTTTCACTGAGGTTGACATGTGTAAATTAAATTTGAGCACTATGAACATGAACACACAGAAAACTAAAATGTGGACAATTCCAACAATATATATATATATATAATATATATATATAGATGTGTGCATTTCGTGGCTTGTTGGTAGAGCAGCCTCTCTGAAGGTCGCAAGTCTCATCAAGATCACGGGTTCGAATCTCCTCATGGCGCAATGTCACCTTAAGCCAAGTGATACTCGAACGGTTTGCACACCGGGTCGCCCCCAGAGAAAGCAGGGGTTGAGCCCATTAGGGTGGGTTGGGGACCTCACGCCCCGGCCCATTCTTTAAAAATTATATATATTTTTTTAAAAGATGGTTGACGGGTGGAACCGCCAACCACTCCCGGCTCACAACCCATCAAATCTGAGTTGGACCCATGCGCCTAACCACTAAAGTACCACCAACATATAGCAGACATCTCGCCTAGGGGAGATTCAAAACCCAGTCCAGATGGGACTTACACCGCCGAAACGGATGTTCTACCAACTGAGCTGGGAATGAGCCGCATATATATATATATATATATATGGGGGAAAACATAAAGAACTTGCATAATTCAATTCAGCCTAGTTTTGTTTCAATTGATTCAATGCACTCATTTCAACATTTGTAGTGTCAACAAGATCAAGAGTATTGAAGATGGAATATTATCTTTGTTATCAGCAATATCCAAGTAATTATGGCAAATTTTGTGTATTCATCGCCATACTTTTACTTGAAATAAATTTTAACTTAGTTTACAAGATGTCAGGTTATGTTAGATTTTGGCCATCCCCTTACTACCTGAAGCCTTTTATGCACATTCAAACTCAATAAAATGAGTTTTTTTTGCTATTAATCATGACTTTCAACCTTTCTAAGCGGTTTTATCTTCCTCCTGCCAATAAAGATTTACATACATACTACCTAATTCCTATGCATTTATATATATCTAACATCTAAACTTCAATTTTTACATACATACCAATTTACTTGTGCATGAAAATTGTGGCTTCTTAAAAGTTAAAATGGTGGTATATTAAAGGTGATATGAAAGATTTAGATGGCATAGATGTAAAAAATAAAATTTACGTGTTAGGTATGTAAATACATAAGAATTGGGCAGTATGTATGTAAATGTCCCTTTAAATTTTCTAATCTCCGTTATAATGCCACTAATAGATCTTCATTGTTTTCCATAGCTTATTATTTACGTCTATGTTCAATCATAGAACTTCTCTGATATGTCCCTTTCAGTATTACCCCTCAAATATTACAAGATAATCCATATTAATACTATCATATCCACAATTATACAACATTAACTTGATTTAGAGATTTTTTTCTACGTATTAGCACCATAAAAACATGCTTGTTCGATAGAAAATCATACGTACCGAGGGACTTCAAATTTTCACTTGATTTTGCTTTTGTTGACAGAGATGGACCTGTTCGCTGTGCAAGTAATTTGTTCGTCTTTAGGGGAGGCTTTGGGCTGCATTTAGGAGAGCAAGAATATTCAGAATCAATGGTAATAATAAGGGAAATTTACATGGATGACACACAATTCTTATGTATTTACATATCTAACACCTATAGTTTGATATTTACACTTGTAACTCTTTGGTGTCATAAACATATGCATGAAAGGTGTATTTCACTTTCAAAATGTTAATAATTGTGGTATTTTTGATGTGATGTTGAATTTCTGAATGTCATAAATGTAAATATGAAAGTTACATAAGAATTGTGTGGCATGTATGTGAATGGCCCTAATAATAAACTTCTGGAATTCATCTTCAAGTTGGAGAAGCATTTGAAATTTAAACCGGACGGTAAAAATATTGTTTCGCATTAAAAGGAGTGAAGACAAGATGCATAAATATGTAACAAAACAAATTCAAGCCTTAGGCTTTGCACGGATATGCTATATTCAATTGGAAGATTTACATATATAATACTCAATTCTTATGTATTTACATATTTAGCACCTAAACTTCAATCTTTACACACATACCACCTTATCTATGCATGAAAAGGTGCATTCACTATTTTAGCACCTAAACTTCAATCTTTACATACATACCACCTTATCCATGCATGAAAAGGTGCACTTCACTATTTATAAGTTTAAATGATGTTGGTATTTTTTATGTGATGTGAAAGATTTGGGTATATTTGTAAAATGCAAATTTCAGCTGTTAGATATGTAAATACATGGGAACTATTCAATTTCTACCCGGTAATCACAATCCTGCATCCGGCAGCATTAACCAGGCTATTAATCAAGTTAAACCAGAAGGAAAACTCTCGCTTTTTTTGTCTATAAGAAAAGAATAATATTCCATGGATAAAAATAGAATTTATTTTATCATGATTATTTTAGCTCTTAACAAAGCATTATTAAAGACCATAAATCAGCGAGGTAAAATATGACTAAGAAAATACGGCTAATAAAATAATAATGCAATGAATTTATGTAAAAAGTGCAGAGTTACTCACATCTTCTCTGGTATAACTGCAAATGTTCTATCAGACTCTAAAAGAATTGACGACTCAAGTGCGCCGCAAATGGAATATTCCGCTTCTCCAATAGAAGGATCCCCGCCAGATACATCACTCAACTTCCAATCATCGTCTTCATCAACAGAGCCCAAATTGTCATCATCGGCGCAAGCATT